CTTTGAAGTATTTTATTTAATAAATTAAATACAAAAAATAATTGATTGACATGTAAGCTCTTATCAAGGAATGTAATTAAGCTATGTTCACACTATGAAGTTTTATGTGACAAATACTGTACTGTACCTGTGACCTTTCGATATGAATGACATTTATGTACAAATATACTGGTATTTCATTTCAGTCAATAAAACAATCACATGTTTGTCGATATAGGAAAAATTAATTTACAAATTTGTACACTTCCTTCCCTTCTTAGAGAAACTTTCTAGTGAATAATGTTGACATGTTTATTCAGGTCACATTGTCATAAAAAGTATGTCTTAGGCTTTGTCACACTATGAGTGTGATATGACACCACCAATTATATGGACATATCACAATATTTATGAGACAAGTGTGAACAGAGGTTTACTTAAATCACTTTTTTTTTAAACAAAAATAAACTCACCATTCATATCAATCATTTATTTTCTATTTTCATTCATCTTGATCACTGCCTTGCAGACAACTTTTGTTGCCTGGTCATTTTCAACTGTCCACAATGCTTCTAAAAATGTCTGCATTGACACATCTTGTGTTTGCAGAAGCTCATGGAAACGTTTGTATGTCCCCAGAGAATTTAGTATGGCCTGGTCTGTAAAACCAAGTTTGTTTGCAAGGTGTTTCCAATACTTAATTGGTGGTTTTGGGTCTGTGTATGGGTTAAGCAACACTTCTAATCGATCAGTTGTAGCCATATCAAGGTTGTGATAATATAATCCTATCAGAAAAGAATAACATGATAACAATTCATTTTAAAAAATCAGAGTAAGAATTGACTGGATGCTTCAGTGTTTTAGTCATCTCATTCATTGCCAATATTAAAATTAATACATATAAAATACGTTTAGTTATAATACACAAAATATTAGACTAATCTTATCACAAAAATAGTGAAATAGGAAAATCATAACGTAATTACCTGAACAACATTCTAAAGCTTTTTGGTACAGACTTTCAACACTTTCATTTTGTCTTGTAATCTTAAACAAAAAAAACCCAAAAAACTAAATTACAGGTAACTGCTAATAAAGAATAGAATTAAAATACTGTAATATTCATAAAAATAACAATGAGAATAATAAAAGGGTCTCCCTCCAATTAAATAAATCACTTTTGGGAATGGGGTTTCCATAGTCTTTAGCAGCTTCAATCTAATAATAAAGATAAAAGACATTTGTTAATTTGGGACCATAGAAAGGTGGCCCTTTAATTGGAGGTGGTCTTTAATTAGAGGTGGTCTTTAATCAGAAGGGTCTTTAAGTAGAGGGAGACTTTGTAAATACAATGATAAAATTCTCATAAGAATAGTAAGGAAATTATATAATGATATTATTTTAGTAAATTTGTTATAGATTACTTTAGTGATACCTATGCAGATGGAAAATTAATAGTAAAATACAATACAATTACTATATAATACCTGTAAAGTGATTGCAAAAAATTTTTGTCAAAATTAATTTATTTAAATAATAGCATCATGTAAACAAGATGAACATTACAAAACCAATTTCAAAATTTAATTGCTGTATATTTAATTATATTATAGCATATTTACATTTAATTATATTATAGCATATTTACAATTTAGCTTAATAAAATAAAATGAATAAAATTTGGAGGCAAAACAATTTTTCTTTCAAATTGAGACTAATTAAATTTAGATATATACATAAAACTATGAAGAAAATTACATTTAAAGTTCATTTATTATTCATTGATATCAAATATTATTATAAAAACTGGAAAATAAACAAATAAAATTTAAATAATAATGTAAACTATAAGTATTAGTATATACTGTAATTACCATTTCTTCTGCATGTGGTACAACTATTGCATCATCATTACTGATATCTTCGATTTGGATGCTGGGGTTTAATTCTTCCACATGACCTTGTTGATTTTCGGACTCCTCAATTAACACAACATCATGACATGACTTTTGGGATTCTGAGCTAAGGAGAGGTTCATCTGTACTAAGTATGCTGTGTCTGTAATGATTGGAATTGAATAAAATCCAAGATTATTATAAAATCACTTTTCGAATTACATTTTCAATTCAATACAGCCAATCGAAAAATACAATTCACAGAATGGTTATACCGACTCATTTAAATAACCATAAAATATGGTGAATATGGAATGAACATTGTAAAAGCAAAGAGTATATGAACTGCTCTGAACTCTACTATTAGGGAGACCCTATGTCACGTTTCATTCTGTGCATACAAAATCAGGGCAGTCAGACCTCTTGGAATTCTACACACTCTTTAATTAAAGCAACAAATATTTTATAAATGGTGGAATGGAACAGAGGAAGGATTCTTTGGAAGGAACAAATTTGCCTAATAAGGTAGGAGGGATTTGTGTATATTTTATATTTTATAATTAGTTCAATGCTGGGGTATAGAGTACTACAGTGTTACGTCACGATACCACGTGACTACTCCGTTGCTATCGGCAACACAAAATGCGTTCAACCGATGCCATTTTCTCCACTGACAAACCATTGATCCCAATTTCTAACCTAATTATTAAGAAGTTGTATCTTAATTTTTCTTTGTAAATGTTAATTGATAATTAAATGTGTGTTCGATAACTAATATAACGATGCAGCTTTTTGTGTTTTAGTACATTTTGATGGTAAATTATTAGGTTTTAAAATGCCTATTTCAAAAAGCATATCCTTAACCATTAAGAATATGAAGTCATTCAGGCGTAATGAACGGAAACCAACATCCAGAGGGCGCCACCTAGTGTTGTGACAACATGACTGTGGTACTCTATAGAGCCATAACTAAACCATTATTTAACAAATTATTTTATATTCACATTATTAAGTGGATAAATGTTAATAATTTAGCAATTTAACAAAAAATTTACCCAGACAGGGGAGAAAAAAAAAACCTGTGCTTTATAAGAGTTTATATCATCATAAAATTAATCAATACATAAAATGCTCTACTACAGTACATCTCTAGCAGTAGAACTGTTTTATCAACAATAATATCAACAGCTCTAATTGCAAGATACTGTAAGTAATAGTTCTGCAAAATACAGATTAAAAGATAAATTATTTAACTTACGGTGGCTGTGAAGGTAGGGGAGATTGTACCTGAAAAACTGAATAAAGAAAAGTATAACAAATATGTAATTATAAGAATTGAACTAAGGAATGATAAAAATGGTAATTGTTCACTAAATATTTATAAAAATATATTTAAATTACTTCATATACATGCAGCACTTATTAAATACAGTACCAATCATGGGGAGTGCACTTTAAAATTTCCCCTTAGCGGCAGTAGTTTCACCTTAAGGTAATGCTGAAGTTAATTATTTGATTAGGCTGTACTTGCTTGAGGATATACAGCAGTAGCTAGAGAAATTTATCTGTAATTCGGGCATCCTCAGATATATGGTACAGTATATGTTAATCTGAAACAATCATTCGCGCCGAAATAAACTACCAATTTGTGGTACCAATAACTTTTCAATGAACCAGGATGCAGTATTCTGATTGCAGATTCTGAAAGCCTGGCCTAAAATTACCTAGAGTAATAATTTTCAACTTTGAATCTCTTTCCAATCAAACTTTTTAAATATGGCCTTCTAAGTGGAAAAAAAATTATCGACGAGAAAACACAGCAGAAAAGAAAAAGTGGCATGCCATATTTTGGAGGGCCATAATTTTCAAAACTACTTGGAAGTTTGGTCTAAAATTTATTGTTTCTTCATAATTTATAAAAAGGAATATTTTAATGGATTTTGAGCAAAATCAAAGAGGGTCGCCTGGGAATTTTTCTTTGGCATTTGGCATGGAATAGTACTATATCATTTTCTGTTGATGACCATGTTGAAAATTTACCTTATTAGGCCTATCTGTAATTGTAACCTATGGGATAGATACAACTATGAACCCACATTTCTTTTAATTGTAAGAGTTAAAAGTACATTAACAAATAATACCCGGTGCTTAGTAGAACGCGGGCACCCCGGGTAGCTCGGCCGTTCCGTGGCAAAACAACGTAACTTTATATTTTCACTTTTCGAGAAAAATAGAGTTAAAGTTTGAATGTTTCCAATGTTTTCCAGATGATGATCCCAGTGTTCACGATGATGATGTTGTAGTAGTAGCTGAAGATAATGTCCAGTCACATCAAGAGGATGTAGTCGTGGAGGGCCATTTTGAAAAAGGTAATTAAATACAAGTGATTTGTTTGAATTAGATACTGTCTCTTATACACATCTTATAAAATTGATATAGACATTATAATTAAAATTTAAATTACAAGTGTTAGTTAATTGTGCAGTTATAAACGATATTCACAGATACGTCGTTTTACCTCGGAAACATGTCAGACGGGGTATTGTCGCTAGTGCAAAATATTTTTTTAATTTATCACTTTTGGGGCAATCAAATGCATTCCTAGCTTGTGCATAAGTCATCGTTAAAGATTATTGATATGAAAACACTATCAACCAGTAATTTTGCCATGCCAAACTCCATCAGCTCAAAACAATTTTTAATACCATTCCGAGGCAAAACAGCGTATCTTCATCATTGATACGTTGTTTTGCCACGTAATCTTGCAGTTACGTTAGTTTACTACGGAAAATCACTAGATTTTAAGTTGTGCTTAAATATACAGTATGTGGTGCTATCTCCGAAACGACTCATATTTAGTAGTGTTTAATACACTCCCAAACGATATTACAGTATAACTGAAAAACGACAAAAGTGTCAGTTATGTTGTTTTGCCTCAGAACGGCTGAGCTTTAAACCGATATAATGTCCTTTTCTAAGGTCTTGACTGCGGGCACCGCAGGCTGGCTCTGCCTGCACGGGCTGTTAGTGGATGTGGAACCTGTTGCTTGCGGGCAAAGTGCAGGCAAAATGTGCACTGTCCACGATGATCCGTACTGTAAGTTATCATTTTGTATATAAGAAGATTAGGCCTACTGTACAAATTTGAATACAGAATATTCATACAAACACAAATGCTTTGAAATGCAGACAATAAAGTAAAATTACCAATTGTATTTTCGGTTGGGCTTCTGTTAGCTCCCTTGTTAAAAATCCATCTTAGTTTATCTAACAAACATCCACTTGGAATAAAAAGACAGATAATACATAAACATAACGATGTAAGCCAGCATTTCCATTCCTTATGTATACAAAGACAACGACCGGTTAAAGCAACGGTTCCATTTCCACCATTGTTTTCTTTATCTGAAAGGAAAAATGACAAAGAGTAATTATTACAGGGGTATTGCATAATATTTATATATTTTATGATGGGATTATGAGGGAGAAAATATGCACTGCCGATATCTTTACGTCCGTTCTATTGCCCAAGAGAATTCCCGCAAATATTTGTGTGTGTTGTGTATATGCAGCTGAAACTCTCTCAGGTATAATTCAAAATATGGAAGCAGTTTCTCCTGATTCCCCAAAGTTCATCATTGGTGATTTCAATCTACATAAATTGTCAAGGTCACTTAACGCATATCAACAATATTTAACCTGTCCAACTCGCGATGCTAAAACAATTGATCTTTGCTATGGCACGGTCTGGGACACGCATACCTCTATTGCTTTGCCGCCTTTAGGAGCTTCAGACCACAATTCTGTACGATTGCTTCCTAAATATATTCCATTAGTCCACCGAGTTAAAAAAGTTGTTAAGACAGTTAAAATTCGGACTGACGAAAATATCAAAACCCTAAAAGGATTCTTTGATTGCACCGATTGGCAAGTTTTCTATGAGTCGCTGTTGAATCTGGACGAAAACGTGGAAATTATTACCACATATATAAGTAACTGTGTTGAGAATATAATTCCATCTAAACAAATAACTGAATTTCCCAATATTAAGCCTTGGATCACCAAAAAACTTAAAGACATGTTGAATAAAAAGAAACGTCTGTTTTTTACTGGAAATAAAAGTGGAAATAGATTAATGAATAGGGAAGTTAGACGAGTAATCCGTGTAGCTAAAGCTAACTATAAGAATAGAATAGAGGCTTGGAAATGGAAGCATACGTAAAGCAAGGTATTAAGAATATGGATTCCATATTAAAATTCAAATAGTATTAAGGTTAAACAACCTGTACGTATCGATAATATTAATGAAAAATTGTTACCCGATGCACTAGGCGAATTTTATTCAAGATTCGAAAATTACTATTTGTCAATTGATACTGGATACTGGATTAAGACCAGGCATTATGACACAAGAACTTAGAACTTAATGTTTTTAACTCTGGAATACAACAAGGCCATACCCTGTACAACAATCTAAACATTGAGAGTAATCATATAAGACCTTCTAAAGAAAATAAATGCAAATATTGAGAAATGGTCCAGATCTTGTTGAGGTATTAAAACTTTATTTTATTGCATTGACTAACTTTGTGGAGTTCTTCAACACCCCTTTCAGTCCTCGTTAAATTTATGTAGGGTACCGAAACTATGGAAACAATCCACTATAATTCCAATACCAAAAAACAATAGCAAATAGCAACTTAACAATTTAAGACCAGTTGCTCTTACATTCCTAATTATGAAAATTTTTGAACGCATAATCAAAGCATACATTACTGTAACACTAGAACCAATACTTGATCCTTTACAATTCGCGTATAGGTCTGGAAGAGGTGAAGATGCCAAATTATTTATATTGAATACAATTTATAAACATCTAAGCTTCCTGGTTCACATGCTAGAGTACTTTTTGCTGACTTCTCGTCTGCATTTAACACAATGCAGCCATATGTTCTGGTTGAGAAATTAAGAATGAATTTTAACATTCCAAATGATTTAAAGCTTTAACATTTATTTTGGATTTTTTAACAGACGCCGAGTTTTAGTTAACAATACATATTCCAAGTGGTATGTTACTAATACAGGTTCACCCCAAGGGCTGTGTCTGTGTCCCCATTACTTTATATCTTTATATTGCCGTAGCACGCATAAAAATAGTTTTATTGTTAAGTTTGCAGATGACACTGCTTTACTTACAATTAAAGATGGAAATGATGGTCATGGCCAAGTTCTGGATACATTTATTAAATTTTGCGATGACGCAAACTTACAAGTTGAATATTTCCAAAACAAAGGAAATGATTATTGATTTATGGCGAAAAAGACAGTCCTGGGGTCACACTCTTAAATAACGAACCAGTTGAGATTGTTAATTCCTATAAGTACCTTGGTACCATATTTGAGGACAGTCTCAGTTGGGGATAAACAATGAAACTTTAATTAAAAAATGCAAACAGAGACTGGGTCTAGGCCCGTTGCCCGGCCTTTTGCCACCAGGCCCGTTGCCACCCGGCCCGTTGCCACCCGGCCTTTTGCCACCCAGCCTTTTGCCACCTTAGGCCCGTTGCAACCCGGCCTTTTGCCACCTGGCCTTTTGCCACCCTAGGCCCTGTCTCTTATACCCATCTAGATGTGTATAAGAG